GGGAAAGCAAACTGGAGCCATTGTTTAGCATAACTGTCCATACCATTGTAAAAACATATTTCAAACCCAAAGTCTAAGTTAATCCATGATACCACTTGACTCAAAACTGGTAATGCTCCTTTCCTTGAAAAGACTGGCTCATATAACTTGACAATGTTAGCATAAAACAATAGACCATTGAGTGTACCCACTGATACTGTTAAATTGAGAGCAATCAGTAGAACCACAAGTAGTACACCCATCACTGCAAACAGGGCAATCCAAGCTACTACCATGTAATTATCATGACACTGTCCACACTTGTTTGATCCCATTAGTAAACTGTATCCTTCTGTACATGATCCACACATTCTCTGTCCTCTATTATCCACACATTGAGTATCAGTGTCATTCAACTTGAAGGTAACAGGATTAGGAGAACAATAGAGGAGACAGTCCTCATTGATAATGCATGCATTAGAATTGGTTGCATTAGCATTGAAAGGTTTACTGGTATGATATGTTCCAATCCACAGTAGACCATTGTGTGTAATGTTTAGACTATTTATATCACATGTCACATTCTTTCTTGAAACACTTTGACTGCAAGTACAGAAACCTTGAGTATTGCTTACACTAAAACCAATGGGACAATCTTTAACCATGAAATTAATTTTAATAACGTCTATACTAAACTGCTTGAACGCATATGGAGCAAGTGTTAAGTAACTTTTATAGCCTGTTTGAATCTGTTTAGGTGTGTATTCAATCATTGAACAAGTATTAGGAATGTATGTTTGATTGAGCAAGCTGTCAAAGTCATCATATACTTGTACAATACCATCTGTAAGAGTTGATATTCTAAAGTAATTGGTGCCAATCAAAGCCACATTAACCTTTAATGCTTGACCAGGATAAATGTGTTGATCACTTACAGTTTGTAACCACTTATGACTAGTTGTAGTATCTGGATCACAAAAAAGTGCACCAAATGCATCACCATTTGAACTAATATATGGGTTCGTCAAGTTTAATTGAGAATCATTATAGTATCCATACATATCATCACCAACTAGCCCAGCAATATTATTTATTAATGTAAGAGGTATATTTGGTGTATTTGCTATTATGTCACTATGTGGGTACTCTTCAACATAGATCCCTCCACCTTTATAAGAAGCATAATTATCAATGAACTCCAAGAAAGCTGATGATGATAATATTAATTTTGATGAGTCATTTATTGCCAATCCTCCTCCAACTACTCCAGTATTGTTCTGGAACATTAAGTTACTTTTAACTGTTACTAATGATCGTTTAAGACTTAATCCTGTTGAGGTACTGTTAGCAACAGTAATATTACTGAGACTAATAGGATTAGATAAACTGTTTAGTACCTTGTTTCCTCCATTTCCATTTAGTTCAGTATCTATTATGTCAATTTGAGTTAATCTTAAATATGTTCCATCAATGAATAAGCCTTCATTTATATTGTCATTAATGAAACATGATTTAATGATAATGTAATAGTTCACTGTTCCAGGTATGTAGTGCTCCTTACCTTTGATCTCTAGTCCTTGTGAATTACAATAAAACTGACTGTTCTCAATTACAAGAGTGGAAATTAATTGATGGATTCCAGGATATGTGCAATTATAAGATCTAGTTGGATTTAAGTATTCAATAAATTCAATAGAAAAGCTGTCATCATTATCATGAAATGATGAATTGATAATAAAAATAGAAAAAATGCTATCAATGAGTAGATATAAGGAAGTGTAATACTTTGAATTGCTGAAGTACACATGATCAAAGATGACGGATACATTATAAGAAGTACCATGCTCTAAAAGTAGTTCCATTTCAGTGCCACTAAAGGTAATACTAGTCAGTATCAATGAGTAATGGGGTAATTCATCGCTGCATACTGGAAGAGGATCATACTTAAAGGTTACAGCATTGCCTGCAATGAAAACACATGATGAAATATTAAGATCAAAAGTATTGTATGCCATTAAATCAAACGCTAAATGTAGCATATCAGGTCGTGATGCAATAAAAGAGATATTAGTTATTGTAATATTGTTGGATGATTCAACCTCCACTGCACAGTCACTAAACGATAAGCTTGAAATAATAACATGATCACAGTTATTTATCAAAATACTAATATGCAAGTTATCCAAGCAGTCAATAATTATAGGAGATCTAGACTGATCAAGTCCATGTAGAGTAACATTCTTTACTGCATTAATGACAATGTTGTTGATGCTACTAGTTTTAATGAAGTAGAAGATGCTATTGTTGTACTGTGACATATTCCCAGCATACACTGATAAAGGATTACAAGGTGTATGAGTAACTGAACTGCAGTCATCAGACACATAATACTGATGAGAGGAGACACTGGAGGAGCTACTGAAGAATAAGAGAACAACCACTAACAGGAGAGACATAGCTACTGTTTGTACTGACTAGTACATTCACTCACTCAGTGTGAGAGATGATATTTATAGACTAAGCTGTCATGAGTGTGTACTGGTGTAACCTTTAATATACAGGACCCACACATACACCTACATAAACTAATTACAGATTCTGTAATTAGTTTATGTACAGTGTATGTGTGGGTCCTAAAGATTACCTCATCTAATTCACATACCACATGAACTGCATTATGTGATTACTGTCTTCCTAGAATACATGTTTGTGTAGGAGCAATAGATCAATAGATTATATACCAGTAAATACTTTTGTATTAACAAAACTTGTCTTGTAGTTTTTCACTCCCTCAATACTTTCTCATGAATAATTAGCTATAAGTACTGTGGTTGGTCTAATGACAAACAGGTTGTTTGGGCTATACTTATCATTCCCTAAATATAGAATTATAGTTGTGATAGCTGCATTCAGGAAGCAATAATTAAGATCTTTTTATAATCACTGATTTTAGTAACAGTCTAAATGTGGATTACAATGATGGTTGGCCATTATATACTGTCAATTTTTAGAATAGCGTAATGTAATTGCAAATTTTTAATTTTTTTGTATAGTGGGTTTCAGTTGAGTTTGACCACTGACCCACCCTTATAACTTCTCTATATTTTATGCTAGCAGCTTGAAACTTGGTATAGTTGCAAAACGGGTTCTTCCGAAAATCTGTACCAATTTTTGAGTCTCTGAGTACTCTGGAAGGTTCTCAAAAGGTTCTTCCGGTCAACATGAAAGGGAGCCGCCATGATGTTTCATGACGTGTAGCTTCGTGAATATCATTTGCATCTCATTAAATTTGTCAATAATCATGTTTTTATTATTTAAAAATCAAATAAAGCAAAAGGTACACTCCAGACCAAGATATAATCAAACTAAAAGACTTTGCACTCCAGAAAGAAGTCTCACAGGCTTAGTCTGCTGTACCTCTCTAAGCCTTCTTTATTTGTCATCACTTTGGCCGCTCAGAAGCTCCGTTGAAATTTTGCATATCTCGATTCTTTCTTGAGGTAATAGCAAGCACAAAGATCCTTCATGTCAATTGCAGGGTTAGCAGTGACCAAAATAGGAAAATAAACAAGTTTCAACAAGAAGAAAAGAGCATGCTGAAGTTTGCAGCCACTTTATTTGCGTGTGGGTGGGGCTACACGTGACGTTTTGTGAT